ATGTGCCTTGACAGAGCAGAAGAATCCTACGTGTATTCTCTTGGGCTGTTTTCCACTCATAACACGCATGGGCATTGATAGGGAACGTTCTCAATATTTTAAACAGAAATACCTTAAAATAACCAAAAGGAATCTGGACAGTTTAAAGCAACTGTTAAAAACAGAAGTATCACTTTGTTCCTTCTCTCTTAAGCTGGAAAAAAAAAATTAAAAAAAGAATTTACTGGAATAAAACCCTTCCCTGCACTAATTGCAGAGTGCCATGCGACTAGTTGTGCGGCACTTTTTACTGGAGAATTGGAAAATATTTTAGGGAACAGAAGATCTCTGTGACTCAAAGCTGTTATCTCCATTTCAGATGAAGGAGATGGAGAAGTGATTTCCTACAGACTGCAAAGCGAATCTGTCACAGACTTTCTCTTAATATGTAAAAATGATGCATGGAAGTTCCTAGTGCTGCCATGTTTAATATCATGTTACTGGATGGCCAATATGCAAAATGAACAGGAAGGAAATTTAACTATGTATAGTATAATTGATATTTTTAAAAAAACCCAACTATTAAAATAATTCAACTTTGTTCCTCTAATGAAGTTTAAACTCTTCTCTGAGAACGGTGCTGATATCAGCTGTATGTTGCTTTATTTTTCCAAGTACACGATCAGAAGTGCACCCATGGGAAGGTGATGATTACCATCGTACAGTCACTTTAAACAAGCAAAATACATCTGAGAATAAATCAGATCTTTTCAACTCTTCTGGAGTATTTGTATGGAGTCATCTCCTTCCCTTGCATCACTTCCATCTCCACAAAAGAGCTCCTAGGCCTTTGCAGGTTTTTTTGATCAGACCGGCCACCATAGAAATGTACATCTCTCCTAGCAATAGCTGTGCCGCTTTTGCATTAGACTTCTGAGAATAATCTACTTGAAAATTAAGTGGCTGCTGTCTTTAATGTGATAATGTATGGGATAAACACCTACAACTCCTGTGAGGGGACATGTCTTGTTGCAATGTATGGCTTGTGCAACCACTGGGAGCGGTGGCCAAGAGCAAAATCTTCGTGTTTGCTGAGAGTGTAAAGAGCATGTAGTAGCATGTTAGATAATACCGGCTTGCTCCTTTTGAAATGTGCTCCTCATATGAGGAAGAAGCTTCATCTCTCTTAATATTGTTTGCAACCAAACACCAAAAAAGTACCTAAATTAGGAGCCCAGAGATCCTACAATCTGTACTTAGTAGAGATCCGAATTGCTCTGTGGAGATGCCTCTCTCCATCAGTTACAGAGGTAGCCTAGGGCAAGCCAGCTCCTAAACGAAGTGCTTCAATAAAGCGTCTGCAATTAAATGTGACAAACTCGGTCTTTGGAGGTGCGTTTTGCAAGGGGGAGTGGACTGGGTGCCCCACAGCCATGCTGCTGTGCAGCCCGTGCTTGGTGCAGTTGTTTTCATCTTTTTTTAATGTATCAAGTGTTGTTAATTAGTTTTTTGATAGCTAATGATTTTTTTATTTTCCCTCCCCTTTTGAAGAAATTACTGGAAAAATTGTCAGATTTTTTGGATCCATTTGCAAAACATAAGGAAGCGCACACGATAGAGCTTAATCGTGTTATAAGAGATTGTTACTCTGCAAGGCAAACTATTTTAGTTATATTGTGTTATTGCGCCATTAGTACCATTTGACTGCCAACTGTGCAGCAGCGGGGCTCCAATCAACAGGAGCCTTTGTGTGCTTTCCATTGCAAATAGTGCCGAGGATAGGAGGGAGAGAGGCTCTTAGTGGTACAGTTTTTTCAGTGATTAAAAATACTTGAGATCCATTTCAGTGATCAGAAATGTGTCTTAATGAGACAATTAGTCAAACCGTAAAAGCTGCAGAGCAATTTAGTTGGTGTTACTACTGGAATAATTTGCTGCTGCTGTTTTCTTCCTCCTGATTTGACTTTATCACAATAGTCTGGATGAAAGTCACTGTAGAGAGGACTTGCAGGCTAGGTTCAGTTCTCAAATGGCCATGATTATCTGTGGGGCAGATAATCCCCTTAAAAATGAGGGAGACTTTGAGGAAAAAAGTGGTTATTTCACGTATAAAAAAATTAAATGCCTTTGTCCGAGTGGCTACTACAGTGCCTTCAAATATCCAGCTGCCTGCTAGTGCCATGGCAACTAATCACAGGTAGTGTTTGGGGGATGGATACCAAACTGAAAGGAGTACTTCAAATTTGTATTTATTTTTCCCTTCTGTAACGAAAGCACAATAATGGGGCCTGAGCTGCCTTTATGCATTCTAGCTGGCTGTGTTCAAAATGTCCGATGGAGCTAATTTTTTATCTTGCTGGAAGGTATCTTGCTGTCGTATTAAAAATCTCTTTCTCCTCTGTCTCTGAGCTTTCACAATTTGGTCATAATATTACTCTAAAGCAAAGTCAGAGCAGTTGTTCTCAACCCATACCTGTCTTGAACTTTGCTGCTTCTCTTTCAGACTTGAAGCCTTGTGTTCCTCAAAGCTTGTTTGTATTTGTTCCAGCTAAACATGTTGATCTATTAAGGCTTAATATCTCCCTACAAAACCGCTGACATTCTAACTTGGAGGTATGGCAGAAATGTCCTCAGAGTGATGTTACAGAAGGCACTGAACACAGCAAAACTGAAATTTGAAAAAAAATATAATAAACTAGTCACACAGGTGAGTTCATCTGCCTGGAGCGTTTCCGCTGATGTTCACAGCATTCCATGCTCAAGAGGTCCGGGGAGTTGTCTCTTCTATTTTGGGGAGTAAATTCTGCCCAGAACTAACATTATGTGAACTAACTTAGTCTAATTAATTTGCATTTACCTAAGAGGCCAACAAACAATTTACTGCCAGAGCAGAAAGCCATTTGTTGGTGTCCCACTGACCAATGCAGTAGGGTGGGTTTTTTTAAAGCTCCTCTCTGTGCCGAGGGCTGGAGCTGGAGGCCGGAGCTGGGCTGAGGACAGCCTGCTCAGTAGTTACGGGTCAGGGTCACAGCCAGGTGTGCACTAACTCGCTGCTGTCCAGGGCAGAACTGGAGCGGGGCAGGTGCTGAAGCCCCAGTCTGCTGTCTGTGTGAATGTCTGCTGCAGAAAGTGCCTTCGTTATCTGTGCCGAGCTTAATTGTCTTCATCTTCTCAATATGGGTCAGTCTGAATGTTTTCACTTTCTAATCTTGTTATATCAGAGTTGTAGAAAGCAAAAATGTTTCAGTCTGCTAAAGGGACGATATAGTTTCTGCTTTGCTTGACTTTAGCTATGAGTATTTTTTTCTCGTTAAAGAATACTGTTTTAATGCCTCTGTCATCTACAGGTCATTGGTAAGGGGAGTGTATCTGGGCATAGGGATAGTGTTATTTTGATAACACACTTGCGTTGGGTCAGTATCCCCATAACTGTGGTTTGGTTATTTGTAACTACAGCTGTCTCCCTGCGGGTTACAGCTGATAGGAGATATCGAGTGATAGGATTTCTTTGTCTTTGGTTTTATGCTGGGCAGCCTGTCTCTCCTGCAGCTGCACTAGAAACTGCAGCTTTGCTGCCTGGCGCTCCTGAGCCTCAACAAATGCTGTGTTTCTTTGCTCACAGCAATCCGTTAGGATGCAAAGACTAACCACTTCTTTCTTTCATAACTAATTACGGGCCAAACTGAAAATTGCTCAGGGTACCAGCATTCTGGCATATGATTATCTGCAAACTACTGAATTTACCTGAGTCAGAAGTGTTTTTAAAATGAAGTTGAGGTTGAGAGTACGTGTTGACAAATCAGAAGCAAAAAAGAAGCTTCATACTCTAGTTATTGGGGGGGAAAAAAAGAGAGAGGACAAGGCAGCCTTACTTTTGAGGTACCCGGAGTATCAGTTGTGGTAACATCCCGTCAGCTTCAATCCTGTCCTTATGGCTGTGCCAGCTTCTTTCTCTCCGTGCCTTTGGGCTGTGTATAATGATGCGCGAATGTTCTCTGGGAAATCTGTGGCCAAGAGAAGAGCAGAACGGGCACATCTGTATGAATATGTATGGGTTGATCATCAGCTATGAATGACTTCGAAATTATCATCTTTGACATAGGAAACTTTTTCTAAAAGTTGAAAGAATGAAAGATAACCAGGAGTTTCATTCTTCTTTTAATTAAAATGAAATTATTAGAACTTCATGCAAGTCACAGTTCTACATGAATTTATAATATTCAGGGTGGTAACATATGACTGGTTCTGGAAAAAGGTGGTATATTCTTACTTGGTTGACACATGGGTGTAACAAGTAAGATTATTTAGAGCTTCATTAAGAGACCTAGAAGTGTAAAGAACCAACTGTATCCTGACATTTCTAATACCTTTGTAATGCAAGTAAATTGCCTGACAGAAAACCAAGGTAAAAGGGCACGTGTCCCTGTAAATCAGTAAGCATTTAATGCTGCTTTTCTGGCTTCTTCACAAAGTGGATCCAACTTGCCATCACCTCCTAAAGGAGAAAAAACACAACTTACAAAGTATATGCAGGTAAATGTATTCTGATTTTACATTTCTACTTCTTATCCGAGCATCTATATTCCTTTGCATTCTCCCTCACAGTACTTGGACTCAGCTTGGCTCTACCCTGGTTAGCTGCATAATCAGATTGATTCAGCTTTGATCTGGAGTTGAAACAGAGCAAAAAAGTGAATGCAGCAGTGCTGGTGGTTCAGATGAAAGATAACCAGGAGTTTCATTCTTCTTTTAATTAAAATGAAATTATTAGAACTTCATGCAAGTCACAGTTCTACATGAATTTATAATATTCAGGGTGGTAACATATGACTGGTTCTGGAAAAAGGTGGTATATTCTTACTTGGTTGACACATGGGTGTAACAAGTAAGATTATTTAGAGCTTCATTAAGAGACCTAGAAGTGTAAAGAACCAACTGTATCCTGACATTTCTAATACCTTTGTAATGCAAGTAAATTGCCTGACAGAAAACCAAGGTAAAAGGGCACGTGTCCCTGTAAATCAGTAAGCATTTAATGCTGCTTTTCTGGCTTCTTCACAAAGTGGATCCAACTTGCCATCACCTCCTAAAGGAGAAAAAACACAACTTACAAAGTATATGCAGGTAAATGTATTCTGATTTTACATTTCTACTTCTTATCCGAGCATCTATATTCCTTTGCATTCTCCCTCACAGTACTTGGACTCAGCTTGGCTCTACCCTGGTTAGCTGCATAATCAGATTGATTCAGCTTTGATCTGGAGTTGAAACAGAGCAAAAAAGTGAATGCAGCAGTGCTGGTGTTTCAGCAGAGAGTAGCATGGCCTATTAGCCAGTACTTCACTGTCTAGCCTAGGAATGGGACAAAAAAAAGATGTATTTTGTCAGAAGAAATTTCCAACCGGAACGTCCCAGTTCCTGGCCTGTCTGCCTTCCCTGCGGGAAGGTGAAACCAACCAAGCTGTGGTGCTGGAAATGCCATTATCCTTGGTCAGTTTTCTGCTTTTGCTCCACAACTCCTGTCCCCAGCCCTAGGGAGGCTGTCAAAAAGTGGGGAGGTGAGAAGCAGTGGCTTTCAGCCTTTCTCTGGAAGCCACTTGCACAGAAGAGAAAACTTGAGCCCTGAATTCCTTGTCTCACCTGCAGCAAAAAACGACAAAAAATTATCTCTGCAAGGCACTGAAATGGTATTATCTATGTTTTGCTGGGGAGGGAGGAGGGGAAGACAAAAAACCCAAAGAAGCTAAGGCTCAAGCAAAGAAAAATATTTGCTATTTTGAAAGCAAAAGGATGTCCTAATACCTCTGTGGACTGAAACCCAGCAGGTTTTCTTGTGGTTGTCTGCTGGTGCATGCGGGAAGGCCCCGAGCGGTGCTCTCCCAAGCATGGCCTTAACTCCCAAACCATCCTCTTTTCCTGACTGTGCCCTTCAAACTGCCTCAAATATAAAGGAGTGCAGAGCTTAAAAGTGTTAATGTTGACAGAACCTGGCCTGTTTATGCCTTAGGAAGCGCTCATTTCAAAATGTAAGTGCTTTCAGCGAGAGACTGCGATGAGTAAAACCCAGCTCATTGATGTTGCAACGAAATACAGTCTCCCCGCTGACCACCAGCTCTACGGCATTCCAGTCTGGTATCTCTTCCAGGGTAAGTTGATGTCCACCTGCCTGCAGGACAGCTGGAAAAGGGGCAAAGAAGCAGTGGCCAGCACTGTGTTTGCTTGGTTTCCTGTGAACTATCTAAGTTTTAGTAGTTATGAGGGCAAGGAGCAAAGAACAGTGTAAACGTAGTTAAGTGCTGTACAAAACTCCCCACAAATCCTATCGGCTTTAATCTCTGGCTTCCCTATTATTACATTAATGGATCTCCTTTGAATGAAGCCTCCACCCTCTGTCATTTCTAGTTCTAGCGGTAAAAGGCAAGAAATTCATTATGTACTTGTATTTGCTATTAACTGGCACAGCAGCTGTAAGAAACGCGACGCATTTATTTGTAAGTACCATGGAATAAGTCTAAATTCAAAAGAAATCTCCAATAAACATTAAGATGGTGCTATAGAACAGCTGGAACATTAAGTGAACAACCTTGATAACCCAATTGTTCATTGACGCATAATTCATTTTGCTTCTGCTGAAAGAGTAATTCCTCGGGACGTTAAAGATTTTGTGAAGCTGAGAATCAAACCAGAAGGGACAAAATCCTCTCTCGACCCACGTGTTTGTTTAGATGAATTAGGTGCTTTTTGGGTTTATTACGGTACATTGTATAGTGTTGTTGCAAATTAATCGGAACTGGAGAAATAAGAGAACTGGCTGATAATGCAATTCCAGCAACACAGAAATGCCACGTGCATCTGCCTGCGTCCCCATAGATTTAATTTTTCTTTTAATTCATCTTATTCTATTGACTTGTTTTACAAGGCAGAAGCAGATTCCTCTAGAGTTACACACTCGGGATCTCACCTTTGGGGGTTTGTATCAGCTATGTGTTCAGGCTGAGACAGCGTGCTGACCAATACACATCAGTTATTTTGGCAGGCAGAGGTACCGCTTCCTCTGGCCCGGTTCCACTGTAGCCGTATGACTTGCAAGGGTTGGAGTTTTTCCAACATTTAACCTAACCATGTCCACCTGTGACAGCTGTTTGCAGCGTTTTAATTATGGAATTTGATTATGGAAAAACTATAGAAACTGGCTGAGGAAGGAGTCCGGTTCATAAAGCAGCATGCTTTCAGCTTCTGCTGCTGTTTTGTCATCCTCATCAGACAGCTCCCGCTGCTTTCTAGGACACTTTAATGGCAATCTCTGACAATTAATTCACGTGTATAAAATGGATGAGAGAGATGACATCTCTATACTGTTGGCTCTAAAATGAAAAAAAAAAGGTACTCGTTTCCCTAGGTTGAGGCCTGGTCTCTCTCGGTCCATGTCAGGTGTGTTGCAATGATGTCGCAGCCCCAGTGAGAGAATTTGAATGGGTTGCCAGTAGCCTATATGTTGCATTAACTTGTGTTCTTTGTAAGTTTCCAGTGTCAACCAAATACTGATTTGTCCGACACTGAGTTTATCGTTCTTTTTTTTGTTGCACCTATGTGACCTAAAGCCTTTATAATAACAAAATTTGAGTTATTTGAATACGTTAGATAACATACAGTTTGATTTATCTCGCAACTTCAGATGGATTTTGCTAGGCAGAAGTTTTTATTATGTATCCTCTTATAGATGCAAAGCATGAGAATGGAGAAAACCTGTTGCTCATTCCCTAATAAACAGAATTTGCGATGAATCGGGGAAAAAAATAGCTGCACTTTCTTCTGTGGGCGATACGCCACTGCAACTTGAGGTGCGGATAGTCCACTTCAGCAGAAGTAGCTAACTCCGTCGCACGGCTCCTCCGTTGGATCTGCGGCGAGGCGGTTTCAGGCCCCGGGCCCGTCCCGGCTGGGGGGTCCCAGCTGGAGCCTGGCTGCGGGCGCAGGCCGGCGGGGGCAGCTCGGCTCCCGGGCACGGGTACCGGCCACCCGCGCTGTGTGAATCCCTGGGAGGTGGGGGGGAGCCGTAAGCAGCGAAAGTTACTTTGCCCTCCCAAGTACTTCGCTTTATAGCTAAATTTGGGCTTAGACGTTTTCACCTTTATGAGTTTATGTCAGACTGTGTTTTTAATAAGGCTTGTGGAATTGGAAAATACACACACAGTGTCATACAAGCTTATTTTAGCAAACGCAAAAGATGGAAGCGTTTGTGCTTTCCGAGGCGTGTTTAAGGACCCGCTCTTTCCTTTGTCACACACACAGCGCCGCGGCTAGAGCCGCCCTTGGCCGGGCGACACCGAGACCCTTCGGTACGGCGTCACCACACCGACGCCCCGGGAACACCCGCCCGCGGGGCGCCGGCGGCCGCCCTGCCCGCTGCGCCTCCCCTCCGTCAGGGGAAAAGCGGAGCGCGGCTCCGGCTGGACAACGGGCGTTTTGAGCCGGGTCCCCGTCGCGGGGCGGGCTGCGTCGCCCCAAGGCACGGCGGCGTCTGGGGCTGCCGGGTGGGCCGGCTTTTTCGGGGGGGGGGTTTGAGGGGGGCTGGCGGGGGCAGGGCGCAAAAAGGCGGCAAGATCTTTGCTCTGGTAGATTTTATTTGCGGTGCGGAGCTCTGGCTTTAAGCAAGCTGAATTCGTGGTACCGGCGTACACTTTAGGTCGTATGTATGAATATAGACAGGTAAATATATTTCAATAGAGCACAAAGCATAACAGAAACAAAATGTGCTATAAATACACATTTACTTTTGTCATAAATCTATAATATTCTATAAAAATAAAAGTATCACTAAAATATTTTTATGTCCTCTGCCACTCACACACCAGAAGGAGTTCAGCTGTGTCGTCACAGCCGTGTCCTGCTTAATGACAGATGGCGCAGGGCCTTTGACAGCACGCAGGGGAGCCAGGTCAGGTTCTCACACCCTTGAAACACCACTGTTTTGCAGTCAAGTTTCTTTCGCTTTTGTTCGCTGTGAATACAGACGTTCACAAAAAATTGGCTTTTTAATTTCTACATCCCAGTACTGCGTGTACGTGGGTGTACACCTACAGCGAGAGTGAAACAATTACCTTCTTAAAATTCTCTTGCAGGGGGTTTGTATGTCCCAGGTCCCACCACGAGGTCTCATTCAACCATTGCCTTGTTAGGTTAACGTAATTACACTTCGTCTGTCAATCAAGATTTTCTCCCTTTTTGTAATGAACAATCTATTCCATAGTTTTCTGGTTGGAAACATTTTAAAAGCTTCATGTTTGATTTCCGTAAGTGCATGTGCACAGGCTGTGTATTTTTAAACTCTGGAAGAGAACTTCATTTGTATAATACAAATAATTTTAAATAAGAACCTAGGAAAACTACCTATTTCCTGAAATCCTTAATAGATGCAGCTGCAGCATGGGATCATACCACATAGGTGTAGGGGATTCTGTTAACTGAGAAGCACAGTCCCTCGTGAAGCTCCTGCTGGCAAACCGAGAGGTTTGTAATGCCCTGTGTTGTGAATTTTATCCAACTGTAATTTAATCAGGACTCTCCAATTTAAACATACCTGGACTGAGTCTGAAGTTTCTTGAACAAAGTCAGGTACTTTGCAGATACTGCTTTTAGCATGGGTAATGCCTAAGGTTAAGCATTTACACAAATGCCTTCCTCTGGAGGGACTGCGTTCATTGAAGCTGCTCATTTCAGGTATTCAGGCTGCATACTAAAACCAGATCAGTAAGTACCTAAGATACTTGGAATGGCTAGCTAAATAAATAGTAAGTATGGGTGGTCACTGGTTTCTTCCTGAGGTAAAAATATGGTGTTGGTATTTTCCACCACTAGTATTTGCCAGTGTGGGAGAATCCAAAGCACCTGTTACAGCAGCTGTAGACAAGTAAGGGGCTCTTAGTGATAAATGGGTGTAAAATTTCAGGTGTGGTTGTAGTTTCTGCCTGAATTCTCAGTGACTGTGTGTTGAGTACACTGTCTGAGCTACTGTTAAAATTCCAGCCAAAAAAGTGAAATGGAAACACAGATAATATTTGCAAATAAATATCAGTACCTATAGAACTAGGAATGCAAAATAAAATTACGTATTTCATTAGAAGCAAATTAATAAATAATCAAATAACTCTTCACAGTGTTTTTATACACTTAAAATACGGTTATAATTTTAAACGTAAAATTCTATGGGAAAATCTTGAGATTGTAGTGCTCCAAATGTTAAAAATACGGAAAGCCTTTGTAGTGACATGAGACAGAACAAAGCAAAATTACTAGGAATGTTCCAAAGTAATTTTCATAATTATAGTGTAGGAAAAATTTAAAGTAATGTTTTGAACAGTATATTCATTAAGTGAACATGTGGTTTGACTAACAGTTTTCTTTATTTTTTTACATTTTAATTTTGGGGCAGCTTTTATGCCATAATATTATTTATATAATCTAAAAATAGGTTTCATCTCTGGTTTGAACCACAGCTCATGGAGTAATGAAACATGCATGTTTTTAAATGAACGCATTAACTTTAAAAAAATGAGCCCTGCTCTCAATCACTGTAAATTAACATGGTTGATTTGCTCCAACGTAGCTGACTTGTTCCAATTGATTATCAGGCCCACTGTGCTGTCATATATGGGGCTGTGGATAGCCTTTATCCAGCAGACTGCTTAATTGCATGTATGCAACTCCGAAGAGGCAGTTAAATAAGCATGGACATATATAATCTACTGAATCTGTATCTAGAGTTCTTAGGCAGAAATGTATCTGTGCCTCTAGTTTATTGTAATAAATCTATTCTCCTGCTTTTAGGCTTGAGAGCGCTTAAGCATGTGACTGTTCAGTCTACGAAGGAAGAAAAAATGTCTCCACTTCTCCAGAGGCAAGTAAGCAGCTCCTGGCCAGCCTTCCGAGTGTGCTCCAGCTTGCCTAGCAAGGGATCTGCACTGGAGTTAGTAAGTGTCTTTAGTCAGGGAGTAAGTGGTATTCTAACAATGATGACTGAACACCTCTAAGCGAGGCAACATATTTCAGCTTGAGAGAAGGTAACTGAAAATATCAGTCCTTGGAAGGATTTGTAGGGAATGAAACACTCAGGATAACACTCTCAGAATATGGGAATTCCCAGATACAGATACTATATTATTCTCCTGATTGAATTTACTGTATATTGCAGAATATGATACCCTACATCTACTATTAAAAAATATAAAATATAAATCCCTCCCAAGTGGGATGATGCAAAGCTGATAAGAGTACCAGTACTCTTCAACTGGTGTTTATAGCTCTAGCTTGGAGACTTTCTTATATTGCAAGTTTGCCTCTTCATTCTAGTTATTTATTGCTCTTTGATTTTGTGTGGTTGCGTACACTCTCCTGCTAGACACAGTGACTAAATTCATTCCTGTGCAAACAAAAAAGGTCTTAAGTAGGATTGAATTGCACTTACGCTTTGTGCTTTGCCTCTCTGTCAGACTGGATTTTGCTCACTGATAGAAAGAAATAAGTCAGTCAATTCATTACGGACAAAATTCTCCCAGTTCTCTGTGATGGATCTTATCTCCAACATGCTGCTCTCAAAATGGGACTGTGCTTGAGGCCAGTGCAAACCAGAATAAAGGCTAAATTATTTCTGCAGCATTTCTGAATTGGGGGAACATGCAAACGCTAGTGTAATCTTCCTAAACTCTGTTTGTGGAAATACACAGCAGCCACTCTTAAAAATAATCTGCTTTTTTTTATGCAGAAAATAGCATGGTGGTTTTAAATACTCTTCATGCAGATTTTCAAGATTTAATGGCATCAGCCTGTTACGTACAATGTTACTCTCAACATTCCTGATAGGGGAAATTTCTTTTTTTTTTTTTTTCTTTACATGCAAATCTTGCAGGAATAGATGTGAATATTTTATAACTACTTGCAGGGGATATTAATTAATTGGTGTGCCTTAGTATTTAATTTATGTCGCATATGCTCTTACTCAATTTTTTTAGGTGATAAAATGGCATAAGTTAATTATGGTTAGAAATGGTAGTACAACACATACTCCTCTTACTTCCTCCTGCATTTCAGCCAGTGAGACCAAACCTTTTTTTGCTGACTCTCAAGCAAGAAATGGTAGATTTAGTACTTACAGGGTTTTAAATGTTGGCAACAATGTAAAACAAATGACATTTTGGTTCTACATTAATATATTACTAGTACTATCTTGCCTTTGAACAACTATGTCATTGTTTCTTCATAAGGTGAACTCAGGAGAGTAATTCCCATGGCCTCTTAGAGTTTGCGGTCGCTCTGCGGCTGGGTGGCTGCTTCTTGTTTAGCAAGTGGCTTTGCCATAGTGGAGTTGCATTTGCTGCACAGATCTCTCATTTCTAGGAGACTTTCTTCCACAGCTTTTGCAAACTTGTCTGAGGAGGTTTCTTTACAGTCTTTAAAGCTTGAGATGCAGAATAGTATATGCTCTGGCTGAGGGTTGTAACATGCCCCATAACCATTGGGCACCACAGGCCCATAGCAGCAGAACATTTCCGTAGTAGTTGGAACCTGGTTGCAGGGAGAAGGTAAGGAGTGATCTCTGATTAATCAGGGCACCTGAAATCAGCTGGTTAGGAATGAGGAAAAAGATAAACAAATGCTACAAATGCTGGAAATGTGGCGAATTCCCCTTGTAGAATATCACTTCCTTCAGAAGTCCAGACCTGGAGCTGACACTTGGAAGGTAAAAGCTGATCTCAGTATAGAATTTGGTTGCTCTGGTTTTTTGCTACCATTTGAAAACTGGTATAATGTGAAGTGGATATAATGCATTTCTTTGCTCACTTTGTATAGATCTTTAACAGCTATAAGCTTTGTTACTGATAGATAGGGAATTTTTAAGGCCGTATGTAATTATGATACATAAAATTATGACGCATAAAATTTCTCTAAGGTTTTTAATTTCTTAAGGTTATCTTAAACTTATAATGTGAAGACTGTAATCAATTCTAGAAAGTAGTATTGTCCTTTTCAAATAATCATTCATAATTGTGATGCTGTATAAAAACATATTTTAATGCATCTAGGTGCTATATTTCTATTACACCTTGGTTTAATCATGGCATAGTACAGGAGTGAAACACTTTCTACTGCAGAAAATAAAAAATGTGTTAGAAACCTATATGTTTCAGACTTTGCGTACATGGGCCTTCACAAATGACATTTGGCTTTTTAATGGTGTAGAACAAGCCATTAGTCCTGCTAATAGAGCCATAGAATTGTCAGATAAATTTGCTGTGCAACAGCCGAAGGCCATAAAGCTATTCAGAAGCACTCTTTGCTCATGGATAGTTTCTTGGAGAATTTATGTAGTAGTATGTTGGTTACATTCACTCATGTCTGAAAGCCTACAAACATTATGACAAGATCAAATTACTTATTAAGGTTTTATGCTGTAGCATGATATCATAAGTCTCTTTTGTTGCATAGTTCTAATCTGTGCAGTTGGGCTAGTGTTTCAGTAAATTAATTCCTCCATAGATTTCTTCTTTCATTAGGACTTCTACTACATGCAATGACACATTTAATTTTTAGGCTGTATGCTATAAAGATGTTTCCTTATTCAGAACTTTAAATGTAGGAAGTGTTGAGTCTTAGAGTATCTTAGTATAGTTGCAAATAACTGTAAATCTGTAAATGTCTAAAATGTCTGTAAATCCAAGAGGCATGCCTGTACAGGTTGCAGTCTTACACAGAATAACTGAAGGCTCTCAAAGATTTCAGAGTTACTTTTAAGAGTAAAATTTCCTCATGGCTCTTGGCTTTTGTTTCTCAGAGTGGCAGCCTGCCTGGCTTGTGGCTGTACTGTCACTTGAGTAAAGAATTCCCACTAAAGCTGTCACCTTAGGGGAAGGAGGAGAAGAAAGGGGAACAGGAAGATACGGAGTTTGGAAAGTGAGGAAACCCTGAGCCCTCATGCGAATTTTATTGAGTTTGTGTGCATTTCCAGAATTTCCAGGAAGGGCTTTGGGATGTTGTGATAACTTCAGTCAGTATTTACTGTGCTGATTTTGTGGAAGGAACAAAAACTAGATTAAAAGTCTGGAGAATTTTGCAGACTTCTTGACGGTTCTAGCTTCTTTTTTTCTTTTTTTTTTTTTCTTTAACATTGTTCTCACTGTGAGCTGCAAGGTCTGGCAGAACACAAGTGAGTTAGCCTTTGCTTAGCAAGACGAGCGAACAGGAGAAACTCACCTGGCTGGTTGAGAGGATGAATCGATTGCTTGTCAAATATGTCTCATCCGTAAATATCTCTGGCAGTTCCTTGAAGTGTTCCCGTGCCACTTCTCTGAGCCCTAGCAGATGGTTGTCTATTGCCATTCCAGTAATAGCCTGTGGACAACATGATAAGACACCAGCATTTAACTGAGTATGGAGACATTTTCATGGCTGTTACTGCCTTGTTTTCTGGTTGGAGTTGATGAACTTGGTTTGAGTGATGTAATGCCTATAATGTTCAGATATTATTCTGAGTATGTACTTTGCTGATGATCAGTAACGAGAAATTCATATGGTGCTCTGCAGATGTAAAAATTAGGAAGGAGATGGTCTTGAGAGGTATTATGTGCTGATGTTATCTGGTGTTCTGG